GGGGAGCTGGTGGATAACCGCAGCCCCTGGAGAGCAAATCTCAAGGATGTGTTTGGCGCCCGCTGGATCCTTGGTCTTATTCTGCCTGTGCAAACAGTGGAGATGTACTCTGAAGACACAGATGGACTCAAGCAAGACTGACAGTTGTCCATTTGTCTCAGTAAGAGCCACTCTTAGGTCAACCAGTTGTTCATTTTGCAGAAAATAGTTTTTCGGCATTTACTGTAGGTGGAAATTAAGTTTTAATCTGTATGGATGCTTTACGATGTTTGAAATTTACAATAAGATAGCTGATAGTTTCATCCTCTTACAGGTAGGAACCTTATAAGCAATGTGAAATAAGTGCTTAGTATAAATGTTTATTCTTAAAAAGGCATTTCTAAAGGCAATATTAGGAACAATGAGTTATGTTGTACCTTCCTCCAGAGTCTGGAAAACCGATCATCATCGGTTTACATCCAATCAGTAGTCTATACAGCATCCTTTACTAAGGCAACATATCCGTAGCCTTAGTAAAGATGTGTAAAAAGGCCTTAAAATAAATACAGCTTTTATTGCAATAGCATAATCCTATTCTGAATATTTAAGATAAATGCAACCCGTCCTCTCAACCATGCCATAAGATTTATTTTGTATCCGGTTAGTGATTATGCAGTTTTTCCTATGAAGCCTTTCACCTTGTCAGGGTTGCCAGGGTCTTTGGAAGCGATATAGGCCTGCAGCACCACAGACACTTAATCAGAGGAACAGACGCTTGTCCACATATTTTGTTTCAAACCCATGCTTGTTACAAAAGACTCCATCTTAAGGACATGGATCCTTTAAACTCTCTGTAATCTTTAATGAAGCTGAGGTATTGATATTTGTAAATGTCAAGACAGAAAAAGTAAATTCCTAGATTACATCCCAAATTTCCGTGTTAAAGTGTTTGTGTTGTTTACAGTTTTCAAGTAGCCACTTCCTGACTGAAGCTCTGCACATGTCTGCCTTACATGAATGGCATATTTTTTGTTGTCTTTCCTATTCTGAATAGATGAGAGAAGTGATAGTATGTAAACATTTTTCCCCAAAAAAGGAAAAAAGTGCCACATCTGTAGTTTTATTAGTTCTAGATACATGATCTCCCTTCAAATAATAACTTTACTAAATGTTTAATGTGCTGTGACTCAAGGCCTCACTTTTACACATCTCTTTTTGGCATTAAAATAAGCGAGGTGGGTGCTGTGCTCTACAACAAGCAGGTTTCAAAGCAATATTATGTGTTTGCATTAGGACACCCAGGTGGCTATGCTTGCCTTTAAAGCTTTGTGCTGTGTAACTGCCAGTACCATGCAGTGTTCTGAGATTATCTTTCCTAACCCTAATTTGATTCTACAGTTTGACATTCAGGAAACCAGGGACAGTTTTCACTGTTAAATTAAGGGCTAACAGATGAAGAAAGAGTTAATCGGCAGCATAAACAGCCAGACTCCACAGGACTGCTTAAGTTGAGCCTGGGGACATTTTCTACTCACACTAATGTTTTTCTGAATGAAAATTGTTGAAGGAAATGGAGATAATAATATCCAGGGTATTATTCACAATGTGCCATGCTTATAGGCGAAGATTTGGTATCTTCTTCCTCTGCTAATGACAGGATAAGTCGCATTAGAACAGGATTTTATTCCCCGTTTCTGATGCGTCTACAGCTGCTTAGTCAAAAGTTGAGGGCGTTTTGGTATTCAAGGATAATTCTGGAGACAATGTTGCCTATTTGTGTATTGCAATAAAGGTTTAACTGATTTAAAACCACAACAAGCGGCTACTTTTTTCACTTTTATGAATGACACATCCTTAGCTAGAAAAATAACAAGAGGAAATGATCTCAAACAGTTTAACACTTGACAAAGACAAAACAGAATGCTCAAGTCACAAAACCAAGCAACAGCAGAGTAAAAAAAGAAAACCCCATCCTCTTAACTTTAAATATCATCAATATCTTGCCAAAAACCAATGATTAATTAAAGATTTAAACAGAATTACAATTAAGGTTTTTAACGACTGTAAATTTCAAATATGAAGGTTTTCACAATATAAAGCAACTCAGAAGTAACATCTCAGTAGATCATCCAAAAACAAATCTTTGGAGTCCTTTGAGTACATTCAACTTCCCTCCACATGATAAAAAAGATTTACAACACTAAGCTGAAAATCTAAGCACAGAAATATGAAGCACAAACATGAATAGACTTAAAAAGGCACAGGCATTAAGATAAATATTTAGATTCACATTATTTCTTCGATACACAATACTCAAGTGAATAAATCTGGGACCAAAGTGCAAGTCTAAAAGCTGTCATGTTTTTTTGCCAGAAAACCTTTTATATCAAGATTTATAAAGCAAACATTTACAGAAAGAATAGAGATGGCAACAAAAGATCTAAAATCTAAACAATCATATGGCTGCAGCACTTTCATTGCTACATTTCTGTTCAGTATCAACAGTTATTTAAAAAAAGAAAGAAAAAGAAGATGGAGTAAATTTCACCATGAAACTGGCAAACATCTCCATGTCACTTCTTAAGATTATTCACAACTCTTCCTTAAATTTTTGGTCACACAGTTATGAGGAATAAATAATACCAACAGTATTATGTTTAAAACGTGAGGGGGAAAAAAAACAAACAAAAAAAAAACACACATTTTACTATCATCCACTGATGTTTTCTTGGTAAATAAACCATGATGGGAAAAGAACCAAAATAGTGGCAGAAATAAGCCGATGAAATTATCAAATGCATAATAAAGACGAAACTTGATGAACCAATTTAGTGTCAGAAAAATAAATGCAGTCACTAATTAAAATTAGAAGTGACTGAATAGTTTTTGTAACAAAGGTGATCAGTGTCACCATTTTCAAACTTACAAAGGTTTCCAAGAATAAAGAAACTTTATATTTGGTTTTCAATGAGCTGCTGAGGGAAACTCCCTTGGTAACCAATCATCATCAGAATCCCTCACTAAACTCAACCTCCAATAGTTAAAGATAAAATTGTTATGCGTTTAAAGTAACAAAATTCCATGAATTTTTGAAGTTGGAAATTTTCCTTGGGAGTAAATGAAAAGAAACGAGCAATTTTAAATACTTAAGGTTGGTGTTCATGGATTCCAGATGTAGCTTGGAAAATCACAAAAAAAAAAACAAACATATTTCATACAAGTAGACCTACACATATCAAAGCTATTCCAGTCACATACTCTGCTTATTAAAGGGTAAAATGACCACATCCTCTACATGCATTTTGCATTCCTCCATCACATGCACAGATGATTTCTACAACCTGGACGGCTGACATTTGTCAGTGAAGAATTTGAGGACAGGGTGACTAAATGCAGCCTGAAAAATCTGAGCAAGGAGATTTTTACTGTCCATGCTTTCAATTACAAAAAGGAAACCATGCTTGATAACAATATTTATTATTTTTGGAGTATGGTGTCATTTCAGCTTGTTTAAAGGCAGGGGGTAGGCTTTTAAAAATCTGTTTGATGTTTAACGAAATAATTAATTGTTCCATGAAAGGAATTAAAACCTGATGAGACATATTGCTTGAAAATGCAAAGCTTTGCAATTGTAAAATTTATTGAATTTGTCATCTGTTCATGGTAAAACCAAATGTTTATGCTAGTATTTGGAAATGATGTGAGAGAAAACTGTCAAGTTTTTAAATTAGGTTATCGCTTAAACTCGCATGAAGTTTCTGAGAATTTTCTACCGCTTTATAACCTTAATTGTCAGGTATTAAGTCTGCCACTCAAATGTGGTTTCTATGTACCTTTTTTATTTTTAATCACAGTCTATTTAAAGTGCACAGCTTGAAAAACAATATACAAGTTATTCAAATTTTAGTCATCGCATGACTAATTGGAGTCATATTGACTCCATTTGATAAGCTATTTTTTGGACAACGTGTCTGTCGTCAAGTAAAACAGATACAGCTGTGTACCTCAAGTTATTTCTGAGCAAGTTAAGCAGGACACAATCAATATTAACATAGCCCATGTAATACTAATTACATGTTGCATGTTATTTTCCTGCAATTAAAGTTACTGAGGCATTTTACCAACTTGCTGTTATATCAGGGACAAAACAAAATAAAAGAAAACATCCCTGAAAATGACTGCGTTGACGCAGAAACCTTGATGAAAAACATTAGTGACCTGTCTGTTACTGCATCCACCAATACAATACAAAACTCTGCAGATTGTTTCAGCAGGGTGAAGAGGTGAAAAGCTGCAATCTGATTTAGATAAGTCACAATCTGTTTGCCTGTCCTCGTTTTGAAGTACGTGGCTTCAAAACGAAGCCATGTACTTTGTTTAGAAAATGCACACATTTATCAAAAAACAATCACATTTAGCTGGTTTCAGCACTTGATATGCTGTCTTTTTAGCTTGTAGTGACCCAGTTCACCCAGCTCTTTTCTCCCAGTGTAATTCAACTGCTATGACTATTCACACTTTAATACATAAGGCATTTGCTCATGCATTTAACAAGAATTCGAAGTTTATAGTAAAAACAAAAAAGCATGTTGACCTGTTTGTTAGAGATGTATGACAGACATCAAACATCCGTCTGGCTAATCTGCTATAAGGCATGCGTTTCTTAGGCATTTGACACCGACAGCCAGAAAGCCCCGCTGCAAGTACCACTTTCATCCATTTCGCATCAGAGGCAGATATTTTGTTAAAGGCAAGGGTTTGAAACATAAGCATGCCTCCAAACTCCCGTTGATTACAGAGACTGTGCTTCAGATTCATCTCAAACCAGCAGTGCTAAATGTTTCAGGATTCCTGGTTTCTACATTGTGCTCTGCAGAAGTATTAATTTCCCCTCCACTTTCTAACATTTTGTCATATGTGGCAAATAACTGTGGATGGCAACAACAATAGACAATTCTGAGATTTGTGTGGCGTGCATATGAATTCAAACCTTTTAGTTTTACATTAACAAGTAAAGTAAGTTTTTTTTGTTGCTCCCATTCCAGTTCATTAAAAAGGTCTAGGGCCAAATATTAACTGACCTTTTGAAAAAAATAAAAAAGACATATTTTTTGAAAAATATTTACAACAGCAACTATTTTATTCCTAATCTATTTTTAGGTTGTGATATAAATAAAAACATTAATCTTTTTCAAAAAGGTGATGGCTACATTTTTGTATACTAGATACTGTGATATCTGCACAACATAAGAAAAATAGATCTAAATAAAAATGACTGGTACTTTTAATATCATCCTGTTTTGGAAAATAAATTAAATCATTGAATGAAAACAGCTAAAACCTTTATTGTTGTTATATCTATTTTTAAAACAGCCGTTTCTTTGTCATTTTTAAAGAGTTTAGAGCCATTGCAGAAGAACCACTTGAGGCTCCGGAGCCACAGGCTGCAGACTCCTGGTCTAGAAGATAAAATTCCAATAAGTTGTTGTTTGTTGTTATAAAGTGACAAAATGCGTCAAAGTTTCAAGGGGTGTGTGAACTTCTGCAAGGCACTGTCCACCTACAGCCACCTGATGAAATGGTGAAAGCTGAGCTGTGTTTGTCATAACAATGTGACACATTCAGCATCTGATGACCTCTTTATTAATCCTCCTGAAATCAGATTTAGAACTGCTGGTTACGTCCACAAACAAGTTACGCTAGGACACTCTGAGCTTTAACCCCGAACTGCTCCTTTTCTGTGTCCTGCAAAGACGACTGGAGTTTAGTCAAGAGCTGCGGATCCCCGCTGCTCAGCGCTTCGAGCAGCAGAGCCGTTTGCTTTTGCAGCAGGTGCAGCTGGCCCTGCGTGCGCTTGTTTTCTTTGATCAGTTGCTTTGTGCGCAACGTAATCCCTAGCAGGCCAGACTTGTTGAGGATGTTGTAGGTATTGCTGAAACGCTTCAGTTTGTTGCTGTGCATTGAGATGGGATCCTGATATTTCTCTGCAGACATGCTGCCATCATCAGATACGCTCCTCAGCTCCTCATATGTGAAGTTGGCTAATGAGCTGGTTTCTGTTGCTGCGGTCAGAGATTTGTCAGAATCTTCCTCCTGACTCTCAGCAGCGTGAGATTTGTTGCTTAATGCTTCAAAGTTGCAGACAGCTTGAGCTTGCATCTGCAGATCTGACAGTGGGCTGTGGGAGATGTCAGGCCTCTGGGGGTCATGGCGTCTCCTCTGTCGCTGCTCATATCCCGCCGTTCCGTTTGCAGTCAGCCTAGATGTTTCCACTCTCTTAGAGGGCGAATCCACTGGGTAGGGGGCAATTCTGGGGTATGACTTGAGAATAGGAGTGTAGCTTCTTGATTGTCGCATGCTGTCAGAGCCAGCTTTTGGAGAGCAGTTTGTGCCATTTGATAACAATGGCTGAAGAAGAACCACCTGAGATTGGGGCATCACTTCCATTGATGAAGGAAAGCCCCACTGTTTCTCTGGTGGAGCCATTGGTGATGGCTGGAGACAGAAAACAAAAATCATTTTAAATTTACTTTGTAACACCAGTTTAGTGGGTGATAAACATAAAAAAAAACTGTTTAACCATTGAGAAATGGTCAATAATACAAAGAGTTCTATGACTTAACTTTCTTGGTTGTCATAATGATACAACAAAAATCACATTTTACTATTCTGATGATTGCAATCAGATGATTTGTTTTGCTTTTCACCAATCAGTAAACACTCTTGCTGCTACTGCGCAATTTAAATGGCTGCTTCTCAAGGTTCTCTGATGATATTATAAGATGGAGGAGGGAAGTGGAGGAAAGATTGAACTAGCCAGATGCAAAACCTAAGAAACACAAAACCCTGGCAATTTGAACTACCAACACAAATCCCTGTCTGATCAGTTGGTTGATTAGTATAGTGTGTAACACTATCCTTGTGGGAGATCCTGAATTTGATCCCCAGCAGAGGATCATTTTATTCAGAGTTTCTGCCAAGTAAGCTGATTTAATAAGCCTGATCTTAGAGTTTACAGTTAAGAGACAACAGGAGCAACAGACTCCAGGACAACTGTGCGTGTTTGCATGTAGCTGCAGCATGGGGGCAGGTCTGAACATCTGCCATCTGAGAAGTACAAGACCAAGCGGTATTTTACATGATTTGTTGTGTGTGTCAGAAATAAATGGCACTTAAAAAAGAGGATTTAAATTCACTTTCTTTTCCCTCCAATGACTTTCAGCCAGACAGATTATGCTGAAGTCAAATGAAATTTATTTACCAGTCAGACAATGGTACATGAGTTGGACGGAACAAAATCAGAAGAGGACTAAAACTGATTAACAGAATCTCTTTACAAAAAGTGTTTAGATTTTTTGCTAAAAAAAAGAGAGATGTGGGGAAGCAGTTCCTACACTAGCTCCATTGTCTCAATGCCTAATAAATAAATAAAAATCTCTCTGCAAAACATAATTATGATTGGCAGGATAAAGATTCAAAATTGCCAGAAAAATTCTTCTGTTCCACTTCTTTCGCTTTTTACAATAACCAACAAATGCTTTTAAATCTGACTGTTGTGCAACTGAAATTTAGGACAAAGGCAACATACACTACTCAAACAAAACTTCATAGATATTACTACTCTAGAATTTATTTAAAAATGTAAGAATTTATAAATTAAAATAAGCTGCAAGGCTTACAAACATAAAACTGTCAGTATAGGAGTTACAAACAGTGAATTATACAGTGAGATATGGTGCATGTTGTTCTATTTTACCTGCTTTAGGACATAGTTGTTCATAATGATCATTGGGGATAGTCCAGGATATGAACCTCCTACCAAGGCCACCTGCTGACCAGCTGGTTCCTGCCCGATTATCGACCCATTCCTTCCAGTATCTTCCGAGTCTGTGACCTCCACTGCACTGAGGTACTCTGAGCTGGCATCTGACAATGAGACATATGGGTCTGATCATGCTTTAAAGTCAACAGGTTTGTGCTTTATGCTGTGTTCAGAGAGGCAGATCATTAGAACTATAAACAACTCAGACACAGATATGCAAGTCTTCGCCATGAAGAACAGGACAGAATAAACCTAATGATGGCGGCTGAATCAAATTCAGGTCAGCCTTGATCATATAAATAAAGGTCATCGCCTGCAGAGCTCAGTGCACATTCTGAGTGTGAACTAGATCTCCACTTTGGATCTGGGTTGACTACTTTTCTCTCAAACAAATGTAGTTTCTAATAATAGAACTGGTCATTTGAACACACAAGTCAATAAAATGAAATACTGGCTTTAGCAACATAAGCAGGTATTCTGATGCTCAATGCTCAAACTATCTAATTCTTAAATATTTCTTACATTTTACAAGAGGATTTTTGCTCTTGTGTAAACTAAAATAATAGTAATATATATTAAATGAAAACAGACTCAAAAACTGGAAGTTTATTACAAATATTTAAACACCCTTTGTCACCGAGACTGATCTAGTTTTTGAAAACTCAGCAACAAGTTATCTAATAATATTTGCTCATGATTATTTAATGCTAAATATGTTGAGTATTTACAATGCAGGAATCTAAGAGACACAGTAGCAAACTAAGTGTATATCTAAGAAGCAATGTAGCTCTGAACCATTTTAAATCCAAGTGATATTTCACAGGTGTTACAAATTTCTTTTGGATACTTCAATGTGGAAAGAGGCAATAATATCAGATCAAGTAATGCAGACAAACCTGAGAAGCCTGAGTCTCTTTCCAGGTCTTGTTTGGACATTCTCATCTGCGCTGTTGTTGTAAATGGTGGCAGTCTTTGTGTGTTCAGTTTGTTAAAACTGCTCATTTTGGTATCCACTGGGGAAAAAAAACACAATGGGAAGTTAAATAGTACCAATATTTTTTCCCTCAATCAGGAAATGTGTTGCAAGTTATCTCTTGAATTTAGGGTTTGAAAGATTAAAGACAAAACTGGAAGGCTTTAATTTCACTCACAAAACATAAGGAAAATTTATTCCTAACCTACTACAAGTAGTTAAGTGTCTTGGGCGAGACAAGGCATGCCTTAAATATGGTTATATGTGAGCAGTACAAAGATAGCAAAAACACTAAAGTTTATAAAGGGTATAAAGTATCAAAATCACAAATATTATTCATAAGTATCGCTAAATTAACTGTAAAAATGAATGAATTAATTACATATTTCAAATGACAAATTTAGTAAATAATTAAGACATGGAGCTCATTTTAACATAATTCATTATTTTGATGCTTCTTTGTAACAGTACCCTTGAATATATTTAAATGCACATTCTAGCTCATCAGATAGGCATTCAAATCTGACTAGTTAATAGCAACAAGGTCCTCTACAGATGAATTGTCTTGAATAATTCAGTAATAGGTCCATCCACAAACTTTATCTAAAGGCAGACAGATATAATAAGATCTGGATGTACTTCAAAAATACATCCTTAAAACAATAAAATACAATGGAATAGGTATGAATGCTATTTCAACAACAAATATTAGAGCCACATTTATTAAAATATATATTTAGTATATTATTTTGCATTGATTTGTCATTTTTAACACAGTACTCAACAATTTAAGCAATAGCTTAATGATGCATTTCCATAGTATAGTGACATTTCATACAAAAATAGTGGTATCTAATAAAAATTAAAAACAGATTTCAACTGAAATAAAATCCATATTAAACACGGCTGTTTAAACTTTGGCTATTAATTAATAAATTCTAATTTCACTGAGACAGCCCAGTCAGCTTACTTAAGTCATACAAAACATTTCCAGAATTGAGTCAGTTTCCTGACTTTTCTCACGTACATTGTCATCACATCAATAAGTCTGGTCGATTTCTGAGATTAGTTTACTTCAAACGCTTCAGACATAAGTGTATTGACCTCAGAGGAAATTGATCTTTCTTATGATTTACAGAATTAGTTACCTCTTTTTTCATTTTTGAAGCGCAGATTTCTAGGCCTGTTTTTCACTTATTTGATATTACCTTATTTCTCTAACCACCTACCCATATGCTTATAAAATAAAATTCCAGTGTATTAGATGTCAATGCACCTTATCTTGCCTAACGCTTTTTATTAATCTTTTACATTTTTTTATCCTCTAATTTGACATCATGGTGTGCTTTGAACATATATATTTTGAGATAAATCATCTTAACTATCCAGGACTTGATTAGGTGAAACATTACAAATTTGGCCCAATTACTGAATTAAGCGTTCGGTTCAATGGCCTGCAATGCTCCCGCAGCCTGTACTGTTAAAGCACTATTTAGTAGAATGAGTTACAGTTTCACTTCTTCGCAATGAAGTATGAAGCAAATTAAATAAATAATGTTTAGTGTGCATAAAACGTGTAGTGTGTCAAGTACCATTGTTTAGACGAGCAACATGCATTTTTTTTAATCAACTGCTACTAGCTTTAAAATTGTTAACTTTATCTTAATGCAACAAGGGTTCAACAGAAGCAAAAACAAAAACATTAGCTGCCGTTTCCCTGTTTACAGGGTGCTTTCCTTTGTTGTTAGCACAAATAGCTAGGTAATGCTAACCATGTTTACTTTAAGCTAACTACGACGTCTTTACGAAAAAGCAACTAGCTACTCGACAAATAGCATTTTAAGAAAAACTTACCAATAATTCGTTTTCTGTAAAACCGATATTTGATGATAGTGACATCCAAGTTGCTACTTCAGTTGCTGCTCGACACTGCCGAAGAAAACATTCGTTACGCCTCGCTACCCGTTCTGGTTTTGACCGTCATTATGTCTTACAGGCAAACACATTCAAACGTTTACTTTGACTTTATCGTTTCTTAAGTGATGCAGGTGAGTAAGACTTTTATCTTGAAAGGTAAACTTATAATTGTACGCTAAGGTGGGCTTAAGTAAGAATTGTACGACAGTTTCCCCCTGCAAGACCTGACGGAGGGCTCAAACAACCCATGGTAACATGACAGGTTTCTGCAGTTGTCAAGGAAACCACTCAACACTTTTTGTTATTCTAGAAGACAGGTGTCAAACTCCAGTCCTCAAGGGTAACTGCCCTGCAACTTAGATGTGCCTCTGCTGCATCACACCTGAATAGAATAATTAGGTTATTAGCAAGACGCTGGAGAACCCCATACTTATCTACACAAGAAGGAGATAATTAAGCCATTTCATTCCAGTGTTTTGTACCTGTGGCACATCTAAAAACTGCAGGACAGCGGCCCTTGACGACTGGAGTTTGACACCCCTGTAGAAGGATAGCGATATCCGGAACAATCGCTAATAATAAATAATAGGACTAATATAATATAATATAATATAATATAATATAGGCTAATATAATATAATATAATATAATAGCTCACAGAAAGTGACACCCAAAATTCAGTCTCATAAAATAATTAACTATTACATAGCTCAAAGTTTAAAGAATATGAAAGACACTAATTACTTAATAATTTTGCAGAAGACAGTCATTTACATCCTCCACAAGGAGGATGTAAGCAACTAAAGACCATTGCCATTTAAAAGTTCTTTATCCAAACATATTCATAAAAGGTTGAGTGGAAGGAAAATGTGTGATAGGAAACCAGGCACCAGCAACAGGGATAAGCACAAGCTTAAGAGAACGCTCAAGAAAACTCAATTCAGGAGTTTAGGGGAGCTTCACAAGGAGTAGACTGTGGCTAGTCAGTACATCAAGAGCAACTTCACCCAGATGAATCCTATGGTCTACAAATGTTGCATTTCTCATGCCAAGCCATTTCTGAATAGAGACAACACCAGAAACATCTTAACTGAGCTAAAGAGAAAAATAACTGAACTGTTGTTCAGTGGTCCAAATACATCTTTTCAGACTAACATAAAGTTTGCATTTCATTGGGAAATTCATTTTAAGAGTCTGGAGAAAAATGATCAAAATCAAACCCAATGTTACAGGATCACCTGAAGGCGGGAATCAAACAAATTGGTCTGGCGATCACCTCCATACCACGCTGCTGAACAGTTTTTAAAATTCATTCAAAAGAGGGCCCATTTTGTGCTTTTTTTTATTATTTATAAACCATAATCATCAATATTGCAAGAGATAAAGCCTGAAAATATTTCAATATGATTCTATAGATGTTTCACTTTCTGAAAAGTCACAAAACATCTTGAACTTTATCAGCCTATTCAAATTTGTAAGCTCTGCCTTGAAAATACACATTGTTGGAAATTGCATAAGTAAGTATATATCAGCAAATAAACACAACTTAAACAAGACATTGTCTGACAGTCATAAGAATTTTATTACAAAATAAATATTTAAATGAAATAAAAATAATAGAACATGTGAAATATTTCTGCATTCTCATAGATTTTCTTTGATATATGAAAAAGAAAAAGGTCTTACATAACTATCTTGAATGATCATTCCAATAACACTCTGCTTCTGAGAACAGACTCAGGAAGTCACCTGTGGAGCAAGAGTAAGTGAGTGTTGTGTTAACAGAGGGGAAAAATGCAGGAAGGAGACACTTTTCAAACCTTGTGATTTTGATAAAGATGCATCAGTACCGCATGACAATGAATGTGACACAGAAAAAAACTATAAAAAAGAATGCATTTTTCTGGTTGACCAGTTCTTCCAGGCCTCATCCAGAGTTTGGGTCCCGTATTTAATTATATCACATGTGGTGGATTTGCTTTTCCAGTGTCTTTTTTAGTTTGCCTCTTTAAAACAATAATAATAAATGGAGGGTGCTGAAACAGTCCTTAGAAAATTGAATGTAAAGAATCGGATCATGACATGTCACAATGGAGTTAATACATCCAACAAACCTTTAGCAATAGATTAAGAAACTGTGACGGTAGGGTAGATCTTTAACTAACCACACAGTTTCATGTCTAACATTAACAACAACGTTGCCAAATGAAATATTTTAATATTGAGCATTGTTACATCCTATTTTTAGACACTAGAGGGAGACCTATCATTGTTGCATGTACAAAGCAGCTGTACATTCAGTCAAAATAAAACCACCAATACAAGTCAAAGTGTTTATAATAATATTTTGACAAAGGATAACACACTTTTTAAAGGTTGCTGGTCCAACTATTTCAGCAATAAATATAGAGATTTAACACGTATTACCAAATTTAAATACAGAAAAAAACAAAAAAAAACTGACAACTTAAAATAACTGACACAATAATATCAAGTGGAAGTTTAAAAGTTGAGTCTGTTCTTTTTTACATTGCACTGGCTCCCATGGATGTCCATTGTGTCAGGTGTGTAACAGAAAGTGTTTCCACCAATCAATATGCACGTCCTGTTGAATCTCGTTATTGCAGACACCCTGTCCGTCATCAGGACAGCGTGTCAGCAAACCAACCCAGCTGTTGGAGTCTCTGGCAGCGGACACACAGGTTTTGATAGATGAGTGGAGGAGACTCTTCATGCTGTTGCCAGGCTGGAGATAAATAGTCAGCCACGCTGCAACAGTAGTTGGGTTGCCGCTAAGTTACCTGCGAGGAATCTGGCACCTGCAGGTTAACGAGAGTAAAATATTGCACCTTTATTAACATGAGAGAACTAGCTGGTACTTTACCTTCTTCCTGAGTCAAAAATGCATCGTTACCTGTCACAGTCTTTTGCTTTTTGTCTCTCCTTTCTCCTCCTTCCTCTTCCTCGTTGCCTTTTCCTACACAACAGAAAATACATTATCCAAGTTTTCCAGATTCTTTGAAATTTTTTTACTTTTAATCGTAAAAATTTAGAATAAAGAATAACATTCTTACCTTCCAGCCTTCATCAAAGGTTTCCGCACTCTGAAGAGAAAGTTTCAATAAATTACTGGAGAACAAATCAAAGTACAATTTTAGTTAAATACATATGTGGTGAATGTAATCACCAAACTGGTCTCTTAAAATATTTGCAGTATACTTCAGTGTTATTACATATATTTCACAGGGAACCTGGCTCTGGAACATTGGTTTACCTTCTCTTACCATCAGACTAAATCATATTGATTTGAGTTCTCAGTGATACTTCTGATCTATTCATTTTCCAAGAGTTGTACAATAATGCAAACAACTTAAATTATTGTTACAATCAAGGTTTGGGTGCACAAGCGAAAATGTATTGCACATGTTCTCTAATCCCTATGTGGGCTAAAATACTATACATACATTGCCACTAATTTTTGGTGAAGTGTCTCTTAGCGAGTTGCGCCATGTGAACATTCTTTTTGTTGCTTTTGGTATAACGCTGACAATAAAATTTAACCTATCTTCTTGGCTGAAGTGTAAAAATTCAGTTGAGTTGATAGTTTTTCTGCTGTGGAGCTGGTTGTTAAGCACAGTCCACAAATATTCAACAATAATGAGGTCAGAAGCCATGCCAGTAGGTTCCTTTAATTTCCTCCTGCTTTGTCTACTCCCAAACCAATTTTGATAATGCCTTTTGGATCAGTGTCCTGTTGGAACACCCAGTTTAACTCAAATTCAGCTCAAGGGTTTCTTAGGATATTCAAGGACAGCCGAGGATCCATCAAGACTCAAGTTTATCATAAACTGGAAACTGCTGTAACGTGAGCGTCACTGTACAAAGTCGAGCAAGTTTAACATTGCCAAGTGCTGAGAAGATACTGACTGCAGAACAATCTCTTAACCCAAAACATTACAAATGATAGGTCAGAAAATAAGTAAGCAAGACAATTTCCAAATTCTTTCACTTGACCTCAAATCAGCAGCAATATTGAGGAAACTTAAACATAATCAGGTGCTCCAACAGGACAATAAATCTTAAACACACATCTAAACTGGGTTTTCATTGTATATGCAAGGTGACACCGAGTTTCTGGAATGGCCTGGAAACTCAACATTAGTAAAAATTGTTGAACTACACCTAAAAACTCCAAATATACCAGAAAATCATTCAAGTTTCACACTCTAATTACAGAGGAATTGAGTGTTAAAAGCTTGTATAGGTAGAAGCAGTTAGCCTGGTCAACAACCACAGTAGTTTTGTAAGTTGCAATTAGAAGATGACTACATTGTGTACAACGTGGCAATGTAGATTTGTTCCCTGTAATCTGTGGTTAAGTTACAATAAAAGCCTCTTCTTGGGTTTGTTCTTGCTCTGTTTCTTTGTTTATCTGCTCACAGCGTGGCACCATTTCATTATGTGAATCTGTAAAGCTAGACTTTGAGAGGGTTTTTTTTTTAGCAGTGATATACAGAATAATCACTTAGGGACCTTTAAGTACTTCACTTTAAATATATACGTTGAGTTTTTCACTATTATTATGCCTTAGATCCCAATATTGTTAATTCAAATGTGAAAGATAACAGGGCTCAATTCTTTGGTTGAGGGCTGTATGGAAACATCATTGATAGTTTTAACATAATAAAATGCTTTTAACTTAATACAAGTAAAAAATAAAAATTTTTTTTTTTTTACATCTGCGTGTTTTACGTCATAAATTAGGGAAACATATTTTTTTGTTCTCTTACCTACATTCACATGTCTTATGCTCCACAAAGGTCATCTCAACATATTCTTCACCTGGTTCAGATGGCCGGATTTTCAGCAGCTGTTTAGCACAGTCAGAAGACAGGATTATAATGGGACAGTACCTTTCAAAAGTAGTAAGACTTTAGTAAGACTGCAGTCAGGCAATGCACTTTACATTTTCTGTTCATGGATTCATCTACCTGAGCTCTATGAACTTTGGGATATTATTTAAATTTCTCCATAGCTATGTACATAGTGTGTGTTTTTATGTCTTCCTGATGCTGGATATTTGGTAATGTTCAAACCGCTGAGGCCTTCGCTGAATTTATAGCACAATTAAATTACACTCAGGTGGACTCTGTTTAATAATTATGCGATTTCTGGTCGAACAGGATTTGATCATTACAATTATATTTTTATTGGCAAAAAAAATAAAAAAGAAAACCATGCATCAAAAGTAACGCTCAACTTAGTGTTGATCTACAACCTAAATCCTGTAAAATACATTGAACATATGAAGTTGTGTAAAAAAAAATCCAGGAGTATAAACATTTTTTCTGTTTTCTTACCTGCATTGTGACATTGGAAGTTTCAGTGGGATGACACTCTAAGTTCTCGTCTCCACAGCAGCCGGCACATCTCACCAGTGGCACACAGGAGGGACTGTAGATGTGCTCCACCTCCGTCGGGTATTCTTGGACAACCTCTACCAGCTTCTCCATGGTCCGACAGAAGCTGCGACCCCACACCTCTTGAAACATCAGCACTGTTGGGAAGAACAGGAGGATGAGCCACGTTGGAATAACTTTTGGTTCTCATAAAGATGCGGAGTCTGACCACTCAGAGCAAATTCCCAAGCTCTCTAATGAGAGAGAAAATCACTACATGGATTATAAATAAACTATACTATTAGTTTCTATTTATTTGTTCACAAATGGTAAGAATAATTAGTTAAACAGGATAATAATGACATGCTCATGTGGTGTATACAGAGACGTAAAGCCAGATGTGATATACAGTGTATCCTGTTTTCTTATAACAGAAAGAAACATTTGTACAATGTGCAGTACACTTTCCTGTGGGAGTACATGTGTGAAAGTGTCCTACTTGCTGAGGGGGGAAGAGAAGAACAGGGACGACTATAGCCAAACACAGAAGGAAGAGAAAACAAACACTGGGAACATGGCCATGAACAGAACCCTGCTGGAACTGGAGCTGAGTTGCCCCGCAGGCACCCCTGGGACTGCACTGACCCCCAGAGGTCACCAACTGGAGCCTGACACCATAACAGCTGTTTATAAACGCAGACGGGCTGGGAGGAGATGGTTGGGGAAGCATCCATGGTCAGGAGATGAGGCCGTGAACTGTAATGTTGTGATACAACGTTAAGCGACATTTTGCTGGCCACTTACTACGGCTAAACTCAACTGTATGTGTTCCACTTCTCTAAACTTTCCTCTGTATTCCAGATCCCGGCCTGGGAGCTGTGCAAGCCTTTAAGTTGCAGTTTATTTCTCCTTTGGCAGCATTAATTTATAGTGATGTGAGGGAGGGAAAGGATGTGAGGAGAGAAGGTCAGAAGTTGGGTAATCCCTTTTGGCTCAGACAAGCCCTGTTATTGTGTGGATTCAATTCAAGCTTGCTGACTGGTAGCCAACATTCCTGAGTTTTGTCATTAATTTCACATCCCAATAATGCATGGAAAATACAACTGAGTTTGAAATCAGTTTCATTCTCTGAGATCTAACTTCTGCTGTGAATAAACAAAGTATGGATAAAATAATCCATTGTGAATATATTTGTGTGTGGGAGTGTGTAAATATGGCAGTTTATTCAAGAATTTAGAGAACATTTATTTTGTCCGTACACTGTTTTCGACTACACTGATAAGTTTCGATTTTTTTAATTAAAGCTCATGGAATTAACATGATTAATTTCCAGCACTCTGATACATTCTGAAATAAAACAGCGACAAATACTTACCTTCCATGGTGCTATTTGTGTCTGCCGTGGGTAAATTCTGAAAAGAGAAAAAGACATCTAAAAAAAATGTAACAGTAAGAACCTCTCAGAAAACATACATTTACCATATCATAAAAAAAAACTAGGTTGGACAAAAAACCTTTACAATCAAGAAAACAACAAATAAAACCAGTGTCACTGAGAATAGATAAAAAAATATCATATTCAACCAAATGTGAGAATATGAAGTTTGTTTTAAAAACAGTAATGAAACAGTTTTAGAGATGTAGCAAAAAAAAAACACACAAAAAAACACAAAAAAAAAACACACACACACACTTCTGCATTTGCATTGTGTCTATGGAGCATTTTAAAAGCATCTGGTCTACTGACCTGAGGAAGGGAGGCAGTATATAGACGGGGCAGCAGTTCAGACTACTAAAATGAAACATAGCTATTAAGAGACTGCACTGCTGACAAATGAAGCAGCTGCAGCAGATAGAAATGGAAAATTATAATAAGCTAAATAAAGTGTGATGCAGTGGTCAAATCAACTGGAAAAGGCAAAGATTTAACAGTGTTACACGTCACATTTTATATGACATTTATGTCTTCTAACTACATGTTCAAAAAGACTTCTCTACAGAGGTTGTAGTTAATGCGCCACAAAAGGCTATTGATATTAGTTATGCTTTCTTTATCTTGTTATAATCTTGTAACAATGCTGTTGGCTCCCATTTCTCAACAACTTTATCGATCTATATACACTGGCATCCACTATCATGTTTGACTACTTGCTACGTTCTTCTCCCCATGCGGGTCACTTTGGGATCATAAACTGTTCACACAGATCCCTGACTGCGCTCGCATTTAATTAGTAGTATAAAAAATTAGATTTCATTCAAAATCGGACTTCAGTATCAAGATCTGCTGTCAATGTAGCCAAGGATAGGCTGGAGAAAACAGTCAGCAACACTTTAAAGTGGACAATAAACAAACCAGCTCTCTGTATAAAATGAAAAAAAAAAAAAAAAAAAAAAACAAAAGGCAGAAGATGGAGAAAAATGAAAAGATCTAACCATTCAGTCCTGTGGAGTCCTGTGGAGTCCTGTGGTACTCCGCAGGGGAGGCCACCAGCCGAGGCGATAAAATCATTAACTTTTAAAACGTCTATTTGAAAGGTGAGCC